TCCTTGTAATCGGTTCCCTCTTTCCAACCCACTCTCCCTCTACCCTCCCAGTATCGCCCCTCACACCCCCATCCTTGCCTTTAAAGAGCATTCTGGTTGTACTTCTTCCTGGAACATAGGACTAGTTCAATACATATCCCCTCACCTCCCTGCTCTCTGGTCGATGCCCATTCAGTGACCCTATAGGACAGGAGAAAATGGCCCCTGTGAGTTTCTGAGACCTAACTCTTTATGGGAGTAGAAAGCCCTGTCTTTCTTCGTTGGAACAGCTAGTGGTTAAGAACTGCTGACCTTGAAGGCTGCAGTCCAATGCATTACCAACATGCCACCAGAGCTCCTGTTCAATATATATGAGCTCTTATTATTTGTGGGGAAGGTAGAAACACAAAGATGCCAAGTGACTTAAGCAGTCAGCAGCCAAGAGAGGCCCACTATTTAGTCTCCCGAGGCCCCACAATTAGTGTGTTGTTCATTCTTTGACGTTGATTGTATTCCAACTCATGGACACCCTATGTTGCTATACTGACCACTGAATCTTGATGGTCTTAGTGACAATTTGTGCATCATTCTGTCCCTGATACTACCATGAGGCAGCTACAGATTAAACATGGGATGGACGTGGGGTCATCCTGGTTCTAGTGTCCAGTTAAAGAACTGCTCCTGGGAAACTGCTTGGAAAGTTTATCCTCTCAGGTGACAGATAATGCCTAGTTCTACCTTTTCAATCCAGTCTTGCTCATCCCTTCAGCAAACAAGCTGACAGGAAATATCAGGAATCTAGGATTGATGCAGAATGACTCAGCCCTCAGAGAGGCTTCCCAAGGATCCCTGATGACCATAGCACATTGAACTGGAAGGCAACAAAATTTAATTTCTATGCAATGCTCTGAGGTGCCCCAGCATACTCTTTGTTTTAGTTCAATGCTCCATGAACAGGGTTTGTTTATTTCTTCCTGGAAATCTTTGATCAAAAATGGCTATGTCAGCTTAAAACATCTGGAAAACAGAAAAGACGTTTTTTAGTATTGAACACTAGAAACTACTTGTGAACCACCAGCAAATTAAATTGTAGCAAGGGAAAAGGATTAAGCACAGTCAGAGCAGACTTTCGAGAGCCTGATGAAAGACAGACACGAATTACCTCCAAACCAGGAATCTTGGTCCAAAGGTTACCAAGAGTTTTAAATACAAATTTAAATATGTATGATGCCAAGTCTAAGAAAATTGAGGAGCACATTATTAATTGTTGTAAAGATGATGCAGATAAATCTTTGGTAGCTCTGAAATTTTCTCTCTCCCCTTTCCCTTTGTCTCTGTCCCTCCCTATCCTCTTCTCTCTCTTACTCTCAATCATTAGGTGATTGGCACTCACCTTTAAGAAAATTAACACTCTAGGAATTTGGTTTGCTGCCAAGTAGCCCGGTTTTTTCCATCTCTGATCCTTATAAAACTCTCAGTAAGTTAACCTGCCCTTTGTTTGGAAATGCCAACTAACTTCTCCTCAAAACTGAAAAACTAGGATTTTAGTATCTCTCCCTGTCTTAACTACGTTGATTCCACTGATCTTAACAGTCTCTTTTTCAGGCAAAAGAAGAAAAAGGAAGGATATAATGTAGTCAGGAGAGAACATTAATCCAATTCAGGGCTCTTAACATGACCTGGTTAGTTATCCATGCAAAGTCTACCACATGTTCCTTTCAGAGACAACAGAGTTATAGCCCACCATTCATCATGTCAGCAATTATCAGATTAGGCTTTGGCCTATTCTGGATAGATTTTCTTAAGGCAGAAACAAAAGCCTGTAAAGTGCTTTAACACTCACCAATGGCTTTAGTTGTAGACCTTAGCACTTTGTAGTATCTCTTACATTATATCTTGTCGAGGAGTTTGGTGGTAATAAAGAAACCATTACTTTGGCTTAGTCTCTGTGTTAGTCTGGGTACTTTAGAGAAACAAATCCACAGAAACTCATATGTATAAGAGAGTTTGATATAAAGGGTAAGTGCACATCAAGAAAACAT